AAAATAGAGCTTGATGTTGAAATGTTTAGTCTTTCCGTGACATACTGGATTGTTTGCAATAGCAATTGCAGTCTGGTTGTCAACAAAAATTTTTGTTTTGTTCTTCTGCTGCAAAGATAAATCACATAAAATCTTCTTCAACCATAAAGCTTGATTTACAGCAGTTGTTGCTGCTATAAATTCAGCCTCAGCGGTGGATTGTGCTACAGTCTCTTGCTTCTTTGTGCACCATGAGAATACTCCCGAGCCTAGGCTGAAACAGTATCCTGAAGTGCTCTTCATATCATCAATGGATCCAGCCCAATCACTATCAGAGAATCCATACAACTTGAATTCTTTACACGTATCGAACTTGACTCCATAATCAATAGTGCCTTTGATATATCTCAAAATTCTTTTTGCTGCTTGCAAATGAATTTCACTTGGACAGTGCATAAAACGAGATAAGAGACTTATCGCAAATAGAATGTTCGGCCTTGTTGCAGTGAGATACATCAGACATCCAATCAAGCCTCTATAATATCCTTCATCAATTTTTTCAGCACCATCATCCTTGCTCAACTTTTCCTTTTGATTCATTGGTGTGCTAACAGATTTACATTCCTCCATTTTAAATTTTTTCAAAATTTCCTTTGCATATTTTCTTTGACAAATTAACACTTCATTCTCACTTTGTTTGATCTCAATTCTAAGAAAATAGGTCATGAGACCAAGATCTGTCATTTCAAAAGCTTGCATCATTTCTTGCTTGAACTCGTCAACTAGCCTTGCATCATCTCCTGTTACTAAAAGATCATCCACATAAAGGGAAACTATGAGAAAATTTTTTCCCTTATGTTTCACATAAAGAGTGGACTCGGATAAGCTTTTTACAAAGCCTATGCTCAATAAGTGATCATTAATCTTGCTGTACCAAGCCCTTGGCGCTTGCTTGAGGCCATAGAGAGCCTTTTTTAGAAGATAGACTTTATCTTCTTCACCTTGCTTCACGAATCCTTCTGGCTGGTCTACATATATTTCTTCATGTAGCTCTCCATTTAAAAAAGCTGATTTAACATCTAACTGAAATATTTTCCAGCCATTTTGCGCAGCAACTGCTAACACCAATCTAATAGTATCTAATCTGGACACAGGTGCAAAAGTGTCATAATAATCAACACCAAAAATTTGCACATACCCTTTAACTACAAGTTTGGCCTTGTGCTTGTTGATTAAGCAATCTGCATTAAGCTTTGTTCTGAAAACCCATTTAACTCTAATGACTTTTCTATTATCAGGCCTGTCAACCAGCTCCTATGTTTTGTTTTTTTGTATCATGGACATCTCCTCCTCCATTGCAGTTTTCCATTTTTGGTCCTTTTGCGCTTCCTCGCAGCTAGCAGGTTCAAAAACTGCTACATTAAATCTTTGATAGATGTCAGATAACAGCCTTTTGCCTCTGACTGGAGGGTTGTCTTCTAATTCATCCTGTAACAGCTCTGTTGTTTGCTGTCCCGAATGCTTATCATCAATGTTGCCAAATAGTTTAGTTGTTCTTTGTGAGTTCTCCCAATTCCATTGCTGTTCTTCATTAAAGTGCACATCTCTGGTAACAATCATCTTTCCGGTTTGAGGATGATACACTTTGTAGGCCTTTGAAGCTGAACTGTAACCCACAAAGATGCCCGGAGTTGCCTTATTGTCAAGTTTGTCACGCTTAGCCTGTGGAACATGTGCAAAACAAACACAACCAAACACTTTAAGAAACGTTAGTGATGGCTTATACCCATACCAAGCCTCAAATGGAGTTTTATCCTTCAAGGCTTTGGTTGGAAGCCGATTTTGGAGAAAAACCGTTGTGTTAGCCGCCTCTGCCCAAAATGTTTTAGGCAACTCCTTCTCATGTAACATGCATCTAGCCATCTCCATCACCAATCTATTTCTCCTTTCACTAACCCCATTTTGCTGTGGAGTGTAGGGGGTTGTGAGTTGATGTTCAATACCAGCTTCTTCACAAAATTGATTAAATTTTGTTGATGTATACTCTGTCCCATTGTCAGATCTTATACATTGAATCTTGCAGCCACTTTGAGTTTCCACCATTTTCTTGAGCTTCATAAATACTCCAGCCACTTCATGCTTAAATTTCAAAAAAAATATCCAGCACATTCTTGTGAAGTCATCTATGAAAAGAATGAAGTATAGACTACCTTGTAGTGATGGTGTTCTTTGGGGTCCCGCCACATCAGTGTGAACAAGCTGCAACTTTTGAGAAGCTCTCCAAGCTGATTTGGGGAATGATTTTCTTATTTGTTTACCAAATTGACAAGCATTACAATTTGGTAAATTATCAGAAAGTATTGGCAGACCTCTTGACATGCCTTTTCTGTGCATGTTCAACATTCTTTCAAGATGGCAATGGCCGAGTCTCTTGTGCCAGAGTTCTGTGGGACTGACTTGAGTAAAATAGACTGCATGTTCCTCCTCTGTTGGATCAAACGAGAAGCTTTTACCTCTCATTTTAACCCGTAAAACTTTCCAGCCAGCAATGTCGTAGATGAGACATTGTTGATTTTCAAAGGATACTTTAAATCCCTTTTTAATCAACTGACCTACACTTAGTAAGTTTTGGTCAATGTCAGGTACGTAGAGAACATCGGATATAATTTTGGTACCTGAACACGTTGAAATTGCAATGGTTCCTTTTCCTTTTGCAGTAATATAGCCACCATTCCCTATTTTGACCTTTGAGACATTTGTGGGCTTCAAATCCTTGAATAGAGTCTTGTCATATGTCATGTGGTTCGTACAACCACTATTAATTAACCAGCATTCAGAATTGCTCCTTGTCGAATAGCATGTTGCAGCAAAAATATAGTCTTCTTCATCTTGCTCAACAACTTGGGCATTGGCTTCATGTTGCTGCTGAAATTTGCTCTTACAAATTACAACTTCATGTCCAAGCTGATTGCATTTACTACACTTCACGTCTGGTCGTTTCCAACATTTGTATGGTGGGTGACCCAATTTCCCGCAGTGCTGACAAGATGGGTAGTTTTTCTTTTTAACCCTACCATTGTTTTGGTTGTTTGCACTATTACCGCTGCTTGATGGCTGGTCCTTCTTGACATGCTTCTTTCTACTGGTTTCCCCATAATGGTGCTTGGCTCGTGAAGCACCTTCGACTGCACCATCTTGTCTCATCAACCTTCGCTGCTCTTGGGACTGCATAGCACTTACAAGTTCTGCCAATGTGATCTTTGAAAGATCCTTAGTGTTTTCTAATGAAGTAATAAAAGCTTCAAATTTTTCAGGAGCAGTTACTAGTATTTTTTGAACTATTCTTGAATCAGAAAAATCAGAACCTAACAACCTCACCTTGTTAGCAATGTTAAGAAGTCTGTTTGCATACTCCTTAATTGTTTCAGACTCCTTCATCTTCTACATTTCAAATTCTCTAACCAGATTTATTGCTTGCATTCCCTTGATTCTTTCATCTTCTTCATATTCTTCCTTGAGGAAATTCCAGATCTCAAATGCCGAATTAATCGTCATGATTCTGGTGAAAATGTCTTGTGAGACAGCAGCAAACAAAGTAGCTCTTGCCTTAGATTTTCTTCCTTTCTTCTCCTTGTGATGTTTTATCTGAGCCATAGTTGGATTGTTCGGTAAAGGAAGAACTTCATAGTCTTCCTCAACGGCTTCCCAAAGGTCATTTGCTTCTAGGTAAGCCTCCATTCTTGCTGCCCAAATGTGATAATTATCACCGTCAAACACAGGCGATGCTAGTTTTGTGTAAGGAGTTTCAAAATCCATCTATTTGATGAATTGAAGGAAGGTTTATTATGGTGGGTTTTTTAATGGGTTCACTCACAGGTCCCTCTAAGAAGAAGGCTCTAGATACCAATTTGTTAGTTTAATGGCAGAAAATAACAAATAGAGTGGCAGAGAAGTAGAGAAAAATGTTGGTTAAAAGAAAGGAATATATTTTGATCAATAGAAGCGTTACAATAAATAATAGAAAGGAAAACTGAAAACTATCCCACGTAACCAAGATTTTAGGGAATTGAATAATTAAACTAATTTGCTCCTAAAGTATAGAAACTACTACTAGCTTGCTCCTAAAGTATAGCAACCACTAATTGACTAAAAACTGAAACAATAAAATAAAATAGTAATAATAAATCTAGCAGTTACAAAAGCACATTTAATATCCACTAAGTTAACTTAGCTATGAGAGGACTGACTAGCCAAGAGAACACTCGTTGTGTTGATGGTTGTGGAGAGGAACAATCGACATCGTATTTTTTTTTAATGCACAATTTTTGTAGGTATTTGAAGCAAAGTCATGGGACAATATACTCCATGACAACATTTTAATATATTTTGATCAGTTCATGAGATTGATAAGCAGCGCAGAATCTACTCTCAAAAAGTTTGTTTGAAATGAAGGCAAGAAATAGAAAGCTATCTCAGAATATTGAATTATGCTTGGATAAAATGCTTGAAAAAGAGGTGTGGTCTTGTCATGGAAGTGGCTCAGCATCAAAAGTAACAGCCTCTGTCGTATTCTTTCCCAGTGGTGCTTGAATCTAGAGGCATGACTTGGTATGCATGGTTGTTAATGTGAGAAACTTGAGGATACAATCAAAAGCGATAATTGGGACATGGTTTTGAAGCCTAATGCAGTATTTAAGTCTGTCAATTTAGTAGTCTAAACTATTTGGAATCAGATTGTTGTTCCATTGCATAGGTGCATATATCTAACATAAAATAACATAAAATAAAAAGTAAGTTCTAAACTTAATTAGCGAGATCACAACTATTTTCATCGGATGAATTGCCGCTATGACATAATTGAAAACCAAAATCTCTTCTCTCTAAGGCTGGAGGACAAGGTTAAAATACCTCCATTTGGAGCTTCTTTTACTGGCATTGCTTGTCTCTAAATTATTGACACAAACCAATGATATAAATGTCACAAGAATTACAGTATTGTCTACAATAGAATGAAGGTATTCTCATTCTGTATTGGTTCCTTTGGCAACCATATCCCTACTTTTTTCCATCACATCTTGTATAAACAAATTAACATTAGAGTGTGAAGAACCTCCTTTTTCTACTGCCTTTTTAGCCATCTCACCATACTCTCTTATCCTTTTTCTTCTTTCTTCACTTTCATTTCTCTCATCCATTAACCTTTCTATTCCTCTTTCAATATCTTCCTTCTTCACCAACACACTTGTTTCCTCTTCTTCACCCCATTTCACTGGACTCTTCACCCCAATTTTCACACCAACTTCTAATATCTGCACAATCAAAATTTCATTAAAAAATTGATCTGCAAAAAGTGGCAATGTAACCATTGGTACACCAGCACATATTGCTTCTATGGTAGAATTCCAACCACAATGTGTTAGAAATCCTCCAACTGAAGGATGTGACAATATCAACAACTGAGGAGCCCAACCCTTAATTATTAGCCCTCTGCCATTGATTCTACCCTCAAATCCACTTTCCTCCATCCATTTTTCCAATTCATCTAAATAATTTCTCTCTCTTATAACCCAAAGAAAAGGCCTTTTTGTTGCTTCTAATGCTAAACCAAGCTCTATCATCTGTGGTAATGTTAAATTGCATAAACTTCCAAGACATGCATAAATAACACTCTCTTGCTTCTGAGAATCAAGCCACTTTAGATGAATCCATTCATCAACTGAAACATTCGTATTACTATCACCTCTTTGAACCTTATCCAAGCTATCAGTGTTACTAAGTGATACAGGACCAATACACCAAACTTTATCATTTTTCACCTTTTTATAACCCCTTGCATAAGCGGGTTCCATCTCTTCAAAAGAATTCACTATTATCCCATAAGTACCCATTTCAGCTTCAACAACATCATATTGAAACTCTTTCAAATCTTCACCTTTTGATACTATTAGTCCTGTCTGTTCTCCAGTCATTTCAATTTCGTCAGGAATACCAGGCACAACAAAGTATTCAGATTCATTGTTAGCCATAGTTTCTATCATATTATTGAGAAATAAAGTATGCATACACAGGAGAAATAAGCAACTTCCTCCAGAAAAAGAAATTCTTGGAACATTGAATTTTCTAGCTACATGGATAGTATATGGTAAACACATATCAGAGATTATGCAACTTGGTCGCGGTGTTAACTCTTCAAATATTTTTTCAGCTTCTTGCTGTAGAAACTTTGTTGAATTGAAAAAGTCTGATGCTGCGCCAAGTGAAGTAAGCATGTCAAGATTCTCACACCCTTCTGGTAATCCAGACTCTTTGGAAGGAAATCGGAGTTGGATTAGATGAATCTGTAGGCCAGATTGAAGAAAACGTTGAAAGATTGATGAGAAACGAGATGCATTTTGTGGAGTTGTTACTATTGTAACAATAACATTGTTATGATGCTGTGCTAATATTTTAGCAATGTCTATCATAGGAATCATGTGGCCAGGAGCCATCATTGGAAACAACACAAAGTGGAGCTTTAGATCTTTGGATTCCATTATGTTTCTAGAGTTGGAAGGATAAAGGATAAGCTATGACATAAAAGTGGCATTGTGCAATGAGTTCAGCTAAAAGCCATTTTATAACCACCCAGATAACTTTTATGGTGATGTAAGCGCTTACATGTGCACAAGTTGAACCATTTCAATCAAGCATTATGTAGTTGTTGTCATTTCTTGATCTAATAATACTACTCTACCGGTAATATAGCTGCAAAGGAATAGGAGATATATGATGCGTTGTGACCGACAAAAAATATCGCTGTTTTGAAACTAGATATCCCACGTGATAAGATAAGATCCTCTTGGTGCCAAGTTTCGAATTCAGTGCCTCAAGGTTGAACTAAAACTAGAGAATTCAAATCGGATGTTAAATAATAAAATTGTTGAAATTAATTTTAATAAATTAATCTTAAAACAGAAAAATATGTTTTTTTAAAAAATTATTCTTTCTATTTTAAAATGACTATTCTTTAACGTTTTTGTATAAGAATTAAATAATACAATAATATTGTCATAAAATATTATATTTTAATGAAATTGACCTTATTAACGTGTTTGAAATATCGTACATAAGACACAGTTAAAACAATATGAATCATTTTTACATTAAAAAATATAATAACATTAATTTTAGAACAATTTTTTTTCTAAAACCAATTGAAATATTGAATCATAAAAAAAAAGAGAAAAGCTTTTAATAAAATTGGTACATCCTTGTAATTTCTAACTAGGTTGAAACATTATGTGATATTTAGGAAGAAATTAGGATAAATTAAGATGAAGAATGGTCAAAAACCATGTTAAAGTGTGAAGAATTTAGTAAAAAGTCAATATAAGAAATATAAAAAGAGTTAGTGAAATTAGTGAAGAAAAATGAAAGAAAAAGTGAGATTCGCTTCTAAAATTCTCGCGTGTGATGCAGTGTGATGAGGCTTGAATGACAGTGCGCTGTTGACGATCGCAGATGTGATGCAGTTTTTTCAACTAACCCTATTTTTTTAATTAAAAGAAATTTTTGGCCATTTTTGAGGGATTCTGAATTCCTAGACTGGGAGAGTGACGCAAAAGGCGATTTTTTGTGCTTTTGTAGGCCATTAGAGTCGTTTGAGAACATTTTTTTTAGTGGTTTTTCTTCTACTTTGAATCTAAATTCATGACATATGAGTGGTTGATGTTAATGTTATTGCTTTGACATATTGTTATTTTTTAATTATCACTCGTGTTCATTACTTATTGTATGTTACAACATGCAATGTGATCTAGATAAGTAGTGACATATTGATTGTAGTGCTGCTTATCAAAAATAGGATACTTGTTTAGCTCTTTAATTAACTAGGAACAGTCTAATTAGTAACTGTGACTCAGAGATTAATGTGCTCTAGTGTCTAGTCCGACGTTCCAATTGACCTGAGAGATTGGAGAATTAACGCTTAGAATAGTGAGTTGCACACCAAAGTATTGGGGCAGTGGTAGCATTAATTTATAGTGTAACTCTTATGTTTCTGCATGTCTGTTAATGCGCATTTCATTAAAACAATAAAAGTAGGAGAATCTAATGAAAATACCTAATCGCATTTATCATCACATCTTTTCCAAAGTCAATTTTCTCTTATTTTCATATCAAACAAACAATTTTCAGACAAAACCCCCTCTGGGTTACGTTAACTCGCACTTGTTTTCCTTGTTAAAATCCAATCTTCGTGGATACGAATCCTATTTTATTACTACTTCGATACATACTAATACACTTATTAGTTATTGTCATTAAGTTTTTGGTGCCATTGTTGAGGATTGTTGATTTTCAACAAGGCAATTTAGTGCGACATTTTTAGTGTTCTATTTGTTTGTTTTAATTTCTATTTTCATTTTAATTTTTGCAATTTCTAATTTTAGTTCCAAATTTTATTTTCTTTTGTTATTAATTTCAATTTTAATTTTGCCTCTACTTGTATGTTATTTGGTGTGGTGCTACTAAGGTTTTTCTTGTTTGTTTATGTGAGGTATCGATACGACGCTGATATTGATTAATCCGTAATAAAGAATAACGCGCACACTTTGAAAAGCAAAAGGAGAAGCAATTTAATCTATCGAAGAAGTAAAAGAAGAAAAAATAGAGATGACTTCTCCACTACGTCAAACATTGGGGGAGTATTGCAGGACAACCAACTTCGGCCAGATTTGTTTAGGATTTCAACCAGCTAATCTAGTAAAATCTTTGACATCACAAATTTTGTTCTGACAAGTTTAAAGAAAAACTCGTTCAACTGACATGCAATCAAGATCTTTGGGAGCATCTTGCTAAATTTTACGAGACTTGCTCGATATGTAAGCTGGTCGGTGACATCACCAATGATCAAGTAAAATTAAGCTTTTTTGGTTTTTGCTTGATAAGTTGCACAAAGGATTAGTTGTAGTGCATCCCAAATGACATTATCTATACTGGAAATAGCTCGAAGACAAGTTTCTAGAGAGGTACTATTTCAACGCCCAGTTTATGAAAAGAAAAGCCATAATTACCAATTTTTCTCAAGAAGAGGAAAAGTCATTATCTGATGCATGAGAAAGGTTCAAGTTGTTACTCCAAAAGTGTCTAAATCACAACATGTGTTCTATAGAGAAGATGACACACTTCAATGATGGGTTGAGAACACAAATTAGAATGTTTCTCAATACCTCATCTGGAGTTTCATTGAGATTAAAAACTGATGAAGATTTAAAAACACTGATTGAGAACATGTGTCAAAATGAGTACCACTCAAGCGAGTGCGCAATGAAACAAAAAGGTGACTATTCAGTTATTTCTACCACAATTTTAACCACTCAGATAAAAGCCCTCACCAAACAGTTTGTCACAACCCAAGTAGTTCAAGCTAATGTGAGTTAGATTCAGGTGTTTCATTTTGATTTATGTGGAGGAGAACATGCCAACAGTAATTGTAATATAGTTGTTGAGAGTACATGAGTTTAATATGCTAATTTTTAGAAAAATAATCCTTATTTCAACACCTACAATCCAAGTAGAAAAGATCATTCGAACTTTAGGTGGAGCAACAATCAAACCTTGAATGCTAATAAAGTTGTTCTACAAACTTTTCAAACACCTCAATACAAGTCATTACCTTTTGAAGAAGCTTTAAAAAATTTCATGAAGTCCATTGCAGAGAGATTGACAAATGTAAATAAAATTTCATATATATATATATATATATATATATATATATATATATATATATATATATATATATATATATATATATATATATATATATATATATATATATATATATATATATATATATATATATGGTTAATATTTATTCTCCTCTTGTTGTATAGGCCATTTTTTGAAAAATCCACTGTAAAAAAAAAGTTTGTGAAATCCCTCAATACTTGAATATTCTCTCATTTTTTACCTTCGTTACGCCAACTCATCAAAAAAGCTGAAGTGACACTATTTTTTTAGGGTTTTTCCATTTAACCTAATTTCCACATGTGTATTTTAGTGTGTAAGATGACACAAATGCCCCTAAGTAAAAAACAAAACATTTAGAGCTGAGAATGTGTGAATCTTCATTTAATGAAAAAACACTAAAGAAAAAGCCCTTCTCTTTCGTCTTCATCAGTCATCCTTGTCCACCATTGAAACACATTGAAGCATTCAGCGACCAACATCTTTCATATCTTTTGCATTGTATCTGTTTCCAGGGGTCCACCATTGTGCACAATTGTGTTGAAAAAAAAGCTCCAATTTTATGTCATAACAGATGTGCACAAGGATGCACCAATTACTCAGTTATATTAAATGTACCAATTATGTACCAACATCATAATAGATGTGAACCATTTTTACTACACAAATTATGCCGACATATAATAACATTTCATTCATTCAAAAAGAGTTACAAATAATACCTTAATAAACAATTATATCAAAACAAATTATATATAATATATTACTACATAGTTACATACTTTTCTGGTATATGATCCTAAACCTAGAAAAAAAAACACAGAAACAAATAACTACAACTATTACAAATTTCATCTTCTTCATTATGTGGTCAATATTTTTCTTCAAATCTTCCATCTCTCTTGAAAACATCTCAGTACCAATCTCTTTCCCAGACTCTTTAACCATTTTCCTCATCAGTTCTATGATTTATCCTTCAGTTAGAGTTGTTTCTCTTTCACCAAAAAATTCATCATCCTAATGGAATAAGTGACAACCATCCTCTTTACCCCGAATACTTGCATTTCCAGTATTTTTTCCCAGGATTTACATTTGAATTTGAAACAAACATTTTCATAGAGAGATTATGTCCATATTTGGGAGTGATTCTTCCGTTAGAAGACATGCTAGAGTTAGAACGTTATGAGATTTTCATTTTCATTGAATGAATAGGGAGACTAAGGTAACAACGAAGAATAAGAGAACAATGCAGAATATGTCTAAGAGGACTGCAAGAAACACAACAGAAGAAGGAAACGACGAAGAAGAAAGTAAGAGGTTGTGCTTAGGATTTTCCTCTCTCTCTCTCTCTCTCTTTCTCTCTCTCTCTCTCTCTCTCTCTCTCTCTCTCTCTCTCTCTCTCTCTCTCTCTCTCTCTCTCTCTCTCTCTCTCTCTCTCTCTCTCTCTCTCTCTCTCTCTCTCTCTCTCTCTCTCTCTCTCTCTCTCTCTCTCTCTCTCTCTCTCTCTCTCTCTCTCTCTCTCTCTCTCTCTCTCTCTCTCTCTCAAGGTTTCATTTTTACTTAGGGGAATTTGTGTTATCTTACACACTAAAATACATATGTGGAGATTAGATTAAATTATTAAAAAAATTAAAAAAAATAGTGTCACATCAGATTTTTTAATGAGTTTACCCGACGAAGGTCAAAAGTGAGAGAACCTTCAAATGTTGGGGAATTTCATCAAACTTTATTTTACTGGGGGATTTTTCGAAAATGGCCCATATGGCAGGGAGAGAATATGTATGTGTGTGTGTGTGTATATATATAT